GCAATGATATCTCGAAATAGAAAACCGTGGTTGATCATTCTTGATAACATGGATCAGTTAGATTTTTCGCCCAATATTGTTAAGCTGGTCTCTGGACTTTGGCAACATGATGTATCCGGTCACCTTCTAATTACCACGAGAAGAAAGCCCACTGCTTTAGCCAACGATATCAGAGATTTCGACGAGAGATGTTGTCTGAGCCTTAAATGTTTTGAAATTGAAGAAGGGAAGAAATTTCTTTTCCGGAGATTTGGAATTGTTCACGACGAAGAAGTCGAAAGAGTTGCAGAGAAATTAGTTCAACAGCTTGGCGGGTTACCTTTAGCTCTTGAGCAAGCTGGAGCTTATATCAAATCACTGCCATGTACGATACCTCAATACCTAGAGCTTTATGACAAGCAGCACATTCGTCTTCTTAACCGACAAAAGGCAACGCGTGTTTCCGAGTATGATTCGCCTGAGAGATCAGCTGTTCGTACAACGTGGCATCTTAATTTCGGGCACATCAAACAGAGTGTTGATGATGGAAGGGCTGCAAGCAGATTTCTGTACGCATCAGCATTTTTAAATCCAAATGAGATTCAAAAAGATATTATCAACATTGGCGAACCACCCATCGAAGATGAAGAGTTTGGTGAATGCGTGAAGACACCGTTGGGGCGTCGACAAGTCTTAAAACTGTTAACAGATTTTTCACTTTTTAAGGAAACTCTATCTTCCAACCTTAGCGTCCACCACCTAGTACAGGAGGTCATACTGGAAAATCTTAATCCAGAAGCGGAACTTCAATCCATTAATGATGCCATTCGTATGTTGCATTATGCTTTCCGAAATTGTTCTTCTCCTGACGAACTTCTTTCAAGTAAAAAACAGGAACGACCGTCTGTCATTTGTGGTGATCAGTCACGTTTTACAACTGGCATAAACTATGTTTACATAGTTACGATCTTGTAAGACATTTGAAGAGAATGATCAAACAGTCTAACGTAGATCGCACGAAGATATTTCAACCTAAAACAGCTAGAATAGTGTATGAATATGCTGTTCATTTGAGTGCTAACTCAAAGCACGATGAAGCAAAAGAAGTAGCGAATTTTGCCAATGATATATTTAATTTGAGCAACCAACAAGTCCCAGCAATCTCCCTTTTCCCCCACACTATGCCTCTACCTGAGTTAGTTCGCCGACATATCCAGTATTCGTGCAACGCACCAGCAACTAGCAAGAAAGATGAATGTAGAGATGGAGTGGAGATGCAAAGCCCTTCAGTCACCTCTGAACAGCTAGAGGAAATGCGAATGAAAGGAAATGATTTGTTTAAAAAGGGCTTTTACAACGATGCTTTGAAAATTTATTATGACGCCATTGACATATCAAGAAATACAGCTTTCTTTGATGTGAGGTTGTTAAGTAATCGAGCATCGGTATATCTTAAGCTTGGGCAATACGATGAAGCCTTGGAAGATGCAGAAGAGTACATATTGCAACGACCAAAATGTTGGCGGGGCTATGCGAGGAAGGCGTTGGCTCTAGTTCAGTTGAAGGATATGCAGGGTGCTTATGTTGCAGCTTCGTTAGCGTATTACTACAAGAGAAATATATTCCATGATTTTGAACCTTTTCGAGTTACATTTGATTCTTCACTGGAGAAGAGTCTGTATGTCTGTCACAGCACTTCAAATTTCTCAACAGCCTTGCGGAAGATAAGAATTTCGCATTTAAGACGTAATCTATCCAATAGTATTTCAGACGATTTACAAGTTGTCATTCTAGAACCTGATCATTACCTTGTTTCCGTACAAACTGTTGGTTCCGACCTAGTTTATGGAAATGACAAGGTACACTCTATTGGAAATTGTATTCTTGTAGGCAGTGAGGGCAAATGTTCTGTAACTTTTGATGACAATCTTAATATAGCTTTCGTAAAGAATTTTGTAGCTTACAATGTTAGGTTTTATTCTCGCTTCACTAACTGCCATTTTCTATCTGGCTCAGTCGTGAAACTTGCTCACTGTTCTTTTGAAAGTTCAAACCATTCGTACACTTCCTTTTGTTCTTTTGGTGAATTGAAAGTGGATTTTTGTACGTTTTCTAATTGCACCAAAGGCGGGTTGCTGGTTGTCGGTGATGCTGAGATTGAAAATTCGGAGTTTTTTGGTAACGCTACTGCGTTAGAAGTGCGAAAGGGTGGACGTTTGCTTGTAAGAAAAACTAGAATGTACGGCAATAAGCAAGGATTGCTTATTGGTCCGCAGGCAAAGGAATGCGTTGTGGAAGATTGTGACCTTTATGACAACGAGTCGTGTGGTATCTTTGTTACTAATTGTGCATCTGATGTTACAATAAAAGGGAACCATGTTTATGATAATGACGAACTTGGGATATCAGTGACTCAGAATTCAAACGTTTCTATATTGGAAAACGAGATTCTAAGAAACGATGGCTGGGGCATATTTATCGTTGATCACAGTCAGGCTGTCGTGAAGGAAAATAAAATTCATCATAACCAGTGCGGTGGAATTTATTTATTGAATTGCTCAGTCGGAAAGTCTGTTATTGAATACAATAATATTTCTTTTAATTCTGGACCTGGAATTTACGAAGAAGATTCACTGACTAAACGCAAAGAAAATAAGTTGCAAGATAACAAAGAAGAGAGGAATCAATCAACAGCACAAAGCGAAGCCAAATTATGCTACTGCTGCAAAAAGCCCACAACGAATTTAAAGAAATGCAGCAATTGCTTTACGGCTCAGTACTGTGGAAAAAATTGCCAAAGAAGTGATTGGAAGAATCACAGGGGGATATGCGATCGTCTCTTATCTGATGGAAGCATTGCATTAAACTATGTTCGAGATCCACTGATGGCAATTTATTCATCTCCCAATGAGCGGGACCCGTCTGATGACTGTAAATATACCTTTACATTGGCCTTGCGAGGAGCAAGTCTTCTACCTGTCGGTCCAAAATACTGTCAACCACCAAATGCGACGAGCTGGTTTATCGTGAAAATGTCCGCAGGCGTTTCGGTCGAACAAGGAAAGGGATACGACCCTTCTGTGGTTCGACTATACGATCGTAGTCTGAAGATAGATGGGTTTCTGACTGGCGCTGATCAAATTTACCATCTAGTTTGGAAGCATGGTGCAATGGCAGAAATGTTTATATACTGGAGGAAATTGTTTATGTGGGTTAAAGGGCCTGAAGATGGAAAACTTCGTGTTTTCATCAACGAGTTTCCTCCTTATCAAAACTGGTGATTGACATCATTATTGAGAGGTCATTGACAATGTTTGGTCATGATTTGTTGATTGCTAATGTTGTGATTTCATGCACGCAGAACTTTGTGGACTGTGCATTCTAGTACTGAACATGACAAACTGTAAATAGTTCATATGATTTCATAAATTGTGTAAATGAAGAAATTTGGTAGTGAAAATCGACGAACTTCGCTTAATTTCGTTAAGCGTCTTGAATGCAATGGGCTGGGTGTTGGATTATTGACAAAATATTATAGCTTGTATTCTAGAAATTAATACTGCGTATGCGTCGAAAATGTAGCAAAAATATGTTAATAGCTTTTTAATCATAGTGTTCACAACTTATATTATGGGAAAATTATTAACAATTAATAGTTAGACCGATATCGTATATAATTATTAAATACTTCAGAAATTTGTAATCTGGCTAAAAATGACCTCAGCAGGAGCAGCTGTGAAAAATACAACTATATGCCTTGTGGCAGGAATCAAACCTGCGTCCCTGCGATCTGTAACTCACAACGTTTAATAGAGCGCCGCAGTTAATTTAACGGGATTCCAGTTGTCGAGCTTTAATTTAACAGCAACTTGGTGTAATTAAGATAATGTAAGTGTTAGGTGTATGAGTAAATGTCAGGATTTTGTGCATCTCAGTCCATTGAACTAAACGTTGAAGGGTTTTGATAGATGGGAATTTTCGTGTGTAAATGTTTCCATATTTTTAAAAAAACACTTCGATATTTAGTTCTTTCGAGTAAGATTCACAAATTCCTATAATTTTAAGTACAATACTTTGCTGTATCACGTTTGGGTACTCCCAAGCGTTCAAAGTAAACACTCGAGTAGTCGTCATGAAACTTATTGCTCCCCACCAGTGAATGTACATTACAAAGGATGTAAAATTGTTACAAGCTACAACACCAATTTCCAACGTATTTGTTCAGGGATGGATTTACTGGGGGAGGGGGTTACTCCCCCCAGCCACAACTCGGCACCAGAGCAGCTGGCAGAGCACACTGCCCCCTACCAGATCATGCTGGACCCATTCCTGTATTGGCTAGGTATTTGTTCGCGCGAAGCGAAAAACAAATCTTGACAATGTGATTGGTCAGCGAAACATTTCGCCACTAAAATTTGGAACAGTTCATACTTTTTCACTGTTCCCGCGAACAAATTTGCCTAGTGGAAAATGGGGTTAATTGACACGGATTCACGGAATCACTTTAAGAAATAGATTCAGTTCAACAAATATTGAAACACTCTTCTGAAAAAATTATATTTCTTAAAAATCACTTAAGAGGTATATTTTAACAATGTTAATACCTTGTTCACATAAAATTAATGTGTACAATTATACGTATACTTTTCCAAATTGATAGTTCATACCAGGATGCTATTCCACAATTAATTTTATAGCATTGGGTGCGTTTTGAAAACCCATGTCCAGCATGCATGAGGGATTTGAAAAGTTTGGAGTTCTTTGTACTGATCATTTACAAAGGAGTATTGGGGTTGTTATAATTATTTCCAGGGGCAAGGGTCTGACATTCATAATTCATTCAGCCTCCGTCGCAGGCAAATACTGTTTCTGACCGGTCATTTCTAAAATAAGTAAAATAAAGCAAAAACTAAAAAGATCACTATATACTAATTCCAGTGAAACAAATAACACTACAAATTTGTTTCGAACATCGCTTCATAGTACTGTAATGTTTCATAGAGACGTTTGTAACCATTAAACACATCGTAACTAAAAAAAACTTTTCGACAGCAACTTGTAAATATTTACGTTTTGCAGCACGTAACCTGATGTTTAGTGAAACTGCGCATTCATCATGACTCATGAAATATACTGACGACAGTTTTTCTCGGACAAGATTTCAACAGAGATGCCAAAGGAAAATATACGATTATTATTATTTGGCAAGCATCACTTCCGGTGAATTGGTAACCTGAAGCTCAGGCCCTAATTTGAAATAGGGCCTGACACAAAACCTGTCTAGACCGTGGGACGCCCACATGTTATTTTTAGACACACATGCAATATGATTGACAAGTGTTGTAGATTTCGTTACACAAAAAAATTATATTCTCATGAACATGTCCGCAGAGCATTTTGCTTTTTAATTAAACTTAAAAATTCAAGGTACTTTTATATAATTAAGAGTCAGTTTCTCTATTTAACCGAACAGGCGAACAGCAAACAAAGATTTAATTAGTTCTGTGCACGGCTTGACTGCCAAGCTTTCTCAAGGTCTCAACTTGCTGGACGCGGATATACTCTAATGACTAACGGGCTAATAACAGCAATAATTAAATTCTCAATCATACCACGAAGAAGGCGATGTAGCTCAGAAAACAACGCCGGTAGGACCTGATATTAAAAATAAGACTTTTGCCGGCGAAGCAAGTTGGCAGAACATCTTGGCTGTCAACAACAAGCTTTCGAATACAGGACTAGTTTGGCTGTTCTTTCAGCGTCGTGTGTGTCCAAAATTCGTCAAAGATTTTGATGAAGCCCTTTCAAAATACTGTTTGTTTGATTTATTTTCTTCCATAAAGCATAAAAGAAAAGAAATTCGAAGAAATCGATAATGGAGTTTGTTACGTGCGTTTGACCTTTATATCAATTGTCGCCTTGACCGAGCTATTTTTAAAATTGTTGTTTACGTGAACTTGCAACCAATCAAAATCCTTCATGATGCTGATCAACCAATCAGATTTCCCGTCCACCAGGTGGACGGGAATCCCACACTTTAGATAGGTTTTGTGTCAGGCCCTATTCTGTGATAGGGCCTGAACTTCAGGTTAGTGAATTGGCGGACCGTGATTGGCTGGAAGCACTTTCAGCGGCCATTATACATGGACCAGCGGTCCATTA